TGGGAAAAAAAATCAAGATTTCAAATATATGATGTCAAAATGGTATAAAAAGAAGATACTTAAATTAGACTGTCGTATCAAATGTTTATTGCAATTGGGGGGGAGGCTTAAGGTTTCCCAGGAGTCACTTAATGAAATGAGAGCCAGTTTAAATTCTAATTATTTAAAGGAAATCAGCTCTGGGTCTTTAAATATACAAATAATTTCAGAGTCAAGGTGAGGATATTTTTATGATAGGAAGATTACATTATTATATTTTATACATTTATATAACTTCCATTACATTATTACAGTTTATATAACTTCCCTCTTACCAAACAGATCATTATTGAAATGGAGGTAGCATCACACAGGCATTTGTGTTTGAGATCATGATACACTCTAAAGTTGAATGCGCCACTCTGAGCTGTAGGAAATGCAGAATGTACGAGAAGTAACAGCCGGTGCTGAAGCCTACACTCAGGAGGCCTGTTTGTCCTGACGGACTGACATCTCTGTCAGTAAGATCAAAGGTCGACAATGTTTATTTCCTGTCTAACTTCCAGGTGTTGCCTGTGCTTTTCCAGTCATTCAACAAAAGAAGGCACGTGACAGCTACTCGCATTTCTGGAATGACATCCAGTGAAAGAGTATGCAACTGTGGCTGTTGTTGACGAAAATGATAAATTTGAGAGGTCACAAGTTTTAACCCCTTAAATCCTCCTTGAGAATTTTTCCAAACTTCTAAATATTTATTTGCTCTACAATAATTCGAAGAAAAACCCGTCTTATAAACACTTTTTTATGTGTTCGCCAACATATTAGAAAGTAGAGAATAATAAAGCACTAGACAGTATTATAAACCTGTTTGTTTTTTTTGTGGCTTCCCATAATAAAAAAAAGGATGCTCCATGAAAACAAATGACTCAGCTAGACTGTTGTTTTTTTGGAAGCTAGGGCTTTGGACAAGACAGTGACTTTGTCCTCAGTTCTTTCCCACTGTCTTTTCAGCTTGACCATCGAGGAAGCGGTAAGGAAGGTCTGATGGCATTTTGTCTTCTGGCCCAGTCATGGCATGCCAGGACTAGCTCTCTTACAGGATGGTTCTAGCAGGGCTTGTCTGAAGCAGGTGTGAGCATCACAGGATTTTACTCAATCAGTAGAACTCATATTTCCCGAACTTGCATTTTATACTGTAGACAACAAACACTCTTACTTCCTCAGGAAGAGGTGCTGGCTTTGAATCTGCCCTAGGTCAATGAAATTTGTTCAAAATGTACTTACCCATAACAAAGTAAAACCTCAGGTTCCCATAACCGGTAGTGTCCATGTACGGAGTGCATAATTTCCTCTCGCCGTCTTTGAGGAAGACCAGTGATAAACCTGATTCTATTGTTCCACATTCTGTACCAATGACAGCGCCCAAGATATCCCACCTTAAAAAAAGAGAGAGAATCATAAAGAATTCGAAGATTAAGTCAAAGACTTAAAGAGTAGAATCCATTCTTTTTTATGAAGAACATTTACTTAGTAGTGGATAATTCTGAAACAAACTTTTGAAAAATTGATCTTTATTGTTGAAAGTATTATAGATGTTCCCATTTTTTTCCCACTGACCCTCTCCACCCCACCGTACCTCCTCCCCAGGCCTTCACTGCACTATTGTCTGTGTCCATGGGTCATGCATAAATGTATATAAGTTCTTTGATTAACCTCTTCCCTCTGAGATTTGTCAGTCTGTTGGTAATGAACAAACGTTTAAACACATTCTGTTCACAATTATTTAGAAGGATAAATTTAATCAATACTATGTATAGAGTGTCTACTAAATGATAGTCTTTATTCTCAAAGTACTTATATTTGAGGTGGGAAGTCAAATAAGAAAACAGGGGACCATAACAAACAGTATCATAATGTCAAAGGAATTAAGTGGTATTTTCCACATTGAAAATTATAAAAAGAAAAGCTATATAATATCTGGCAAAAAAAGGATATGTGATTTAAACTTGGTCTTATCAAATAGGCATTTGGATATCTAGTAGAGAATATAATACTATATAAAAACTCTTATTTCTCCTTAGAATTTATTTCTGGTCATGTCTAATTTTGCCATTGTTAGTCACACAACTAACCTCCCTACGGATGGAGAAAACTGGGGCACACAAGGGTAAGTGACTTGCCGAAGGGCAATTGCCAGTTTGGTTCTGAAATTGAGATGTTATGATTCTCGGTTCACTTTATTTTAGTAGTTACATTTCTAAAGAGGATACTGTGTCAGGACAATTATGTTGAACTATTCCAGTTTATAATAGATTTGTGATCAAAACGTCGAGAAAATGCCCATTATTTTGCATTTAAATTGATTATTTCAGTCATTCAGGAACACAATAAATAACTTCGAGGAAGCTCTTAATAGTACTTGACCACTGTCAATTAACCAGGAACCTCTTTTGGCTCATACAAGAAAATTTCACATTGGTTCATTGATCTTCATTTATCACAATTAAACCACTCAGCCAACTGATCTACAAAAGAAGGTCACAAATGATGCATATGATGGCTGCCTTTAGGCATTTAAATATTTTAGAGCATTTTTAAAGTTAAAAATTAAATTAAAAAGATGGCATTGACATGGACTAAAAGAACTTTTTATTCCAGTGAGAACTGAGATTAGTAGTCTTCTCTTAATTATTAGTTGTAAATGAATAACTTCTAGATTAATATAAATGGGTGATTTTCATGACCTCTACCACAGAGTTGTGTGAGATATAATTCAGACGGTATATTTCTTTTCAAACTTTAAAGTCCAACATATTCCAATTTTACTCTACATTGGTCTTTATTTTTTCCACTACCTCTTGGAAGTTAATAAAGTGAAGTTATTTTCTTTAGAAACCCAAATATTTATAATCAAGTGAAATGCAAAGTTTAGTCCACTTTGAAGAGAAAGAAGCAGAGAGAAGTCTGAGAAATAGTTTTGTAAAAGTCTCATCACTTTGAATAAATTATCTTGCATTTATTAAAAATTCAGAAGAAGCCTTTTGTAGCACAAGCTCACTCATTTATGAATTCATATAAACACTGGCTTGAACTTAGCTGAAGGCAAAGTATCCTTAAGGGGATCCCGGAGCTCCATCAACCACTGAGGGACGTGGGGAGGGCCTTTCACTTTTGGATTTTAGACTTCTGATGTAATGTTGCAAAACTGTGATTAATTCCAGTTACAAAAACAATATGGTCTATGAATCTCTCCTAACTTAACAATTAAATGAAAGTAAATGACAACTAAATCTTTGAGGCCAGCAGTGGCATTGGAAGAGCTCTACAATGTTAGCAATATCTAGGATGGCATGAGCTTTTCCCTGAAAAGGAGTGTTAGTTCTCTACGGCTTAAATTATGTTTTCTCCAAGGAAATGTGGTTCTATGTGAACTGCATTTGAAGAAATGTCTGCCTACGGGGGAGAGCTCTGTACAATATAGCAATTTATACTTATTCTTTGATGACTAATTCTAAAAATAACGTCCCCAAATTATTTATTATAAAAACAGCGGTATCTATTATTTATTATAGAGTGGGATGAAGTTGGAACGCAGACAAAGTTTCATAATCAATAAAATGCCTTAAGGCAACTTTTTTCCCTTAGAGGTAGCAAGATCACAATAATATTTAATTTGTATTTTTAAACTACAACTTTCTACTTTTTATGTCAAGAAAAAGAAATATTTTTGTAAGCAGTTTCTTCACTGGAAAGCTGATGATTCCCCCTATCAGCTGTTTTGGAATGGTTTGAGAATAAAATTCCTTTAATCGGTTCAAATATGAATACTTTAAAGAATGATATGAGAGAGTAGAACTTAAATTTTCTTACCAAAAAATAAAAAAGATAAATATGTGAGGCTATGATGTGTCAACTGACAAATGGAGGAAACCCTTTCACAATATGTACATATATCAGATCACCATGATGTACACGTTAACTAGCTTACAATTGTAAATTTCTCAATAAATTATACATCATTTAAATTATATCTTCATAAAGCTAAAATTAAACAAAATTTTCCTTCATGAGCCTAAAAAAAGGATTATATATATTCTTTGAAGGGAAATTTGGCAGTAACTATAAAAAAATTACATATATACTGTATATATGTATATATATATACACACACACACACACTGAGTGGACAGATTATTATGATCACCTGACGTTTGTAGGCAAATTAGCTATAATTTCCCACTGAAGTTGCTAGAGGGCCAGACTATTATAAATAGGGAAGCAGGTTGTTTACCATGTCTCACAGAACTGGACAGTGCTATTCATCAGGCATGGAGTCAGCTTCCTCGCATCAACTTTCAACATCTCGTGGAATCAATGCCAAGAAGAATCGCCGCAGTATTGTAGGCAAAAGGTGGCCCAATGAAGTACTGATGGGGTGGTCATAATAATGTGGCCGGTCATAATAATCTGGCCACTCAGTGTATATATACCAAGTTCAAAGGCTGTTAATTCTCGTTTACCCATATCTTCAGAAAAAAATCACTTCTACTGTCGTGGTAAACAACCTGCTTCCCTATCTATAATGGTCTGGCCCTCTAGCAACTTCAGTGCGAAATTATAGTTAATTTGCCTACAAACGTCAGGTGGTCATAATAATCTGACCAGTGTACATAAATGTCTCAAAAAATGTATACACACTTTAACAGTTGATATCTCAGTTTTGAAAATGAAATGTATTTTAATAAACACTGCCTTTATAATTACTCAAAGTGTGTGTATACATTTTTGGGGGGCACCCTATATATATGTATATATATGTATATGTATACATACATGTCTGATTCTCTAAATTTCATTTTAGGAATTTTTATTTCAGAAATACTTTAACAAGTATAAAAAATTTATTACAATATTCTTTGTCTACTAGTATTAATAGGGGTTGTTAGATAAAAAATGAAATTCTGGTCAGTTTCTCATTTTGGTATAGTCATAGAAAAGTATGAATGAATATATGCATACACACACACACACACACACACACACACACACACACACACACTAGAGGTCTGCTGTATGGAATTGTGCACTCGGAGGGTCCCTCAGCCCAGCCTGCGCCTTCTCCCAGTCCAGGAGCCCGCAGGGGATATCCAACTGATGGCAGTCATACACCCTAGTGCTGCTACGGTGTGGCTGAGCGGCACTCCCTCTGTGGGAGTGCACTGACCACCAGGGGGCAGCTCCAGTGTTGAGCATCTGCCCCCTGGTGGTCAGTGCGTGTCACAGCAACCGGTCATTCCATTGTTTGGCCAATTTGCATATTAGCCTTTTATTATATAGGATACCAACATTTTAACTGTAGGAAATGTGATATGCAAGGGCGACTTTTTTATTTTAAACATTTGCTTTAAAAATGCAAATAATATCCAAATAAAAATAATTTTAAAGGCATTTAATTTATATGTATTATAATTCAGAATGAAAACTTAAATGATCTCATTATAGATTGATGAAAATACTAAGAATATTAACATAGGCCATAAAGGTCTTATATTTTCATTACACTTTTTCCTACTTTTATTGGCATAAATGGTTCTAAAAGTGATAGATCTATGAAAAATTGTTTTATTATATTTTTCAGAATATATTAAATCAAGTTGGCAACTTTAGGTTTGAATTAAGATAAGGAATAAAGCCTGGCTATAAGATCCCACATTTGCCAAGTTCATAGGTTTTTAATCTACTACGAATTCTCTGAGATTGAATAAATTATCTGAGATTGATATCCATAAGGTCTGTACTTGGGATAAATTCTCTGATATTTAATAAGGGATGTACCAGAGGTAAAAACCCTTCCACATTAATTTATATTCATGAGGTTTATCTCCAATATGAGTCCTGTGATGTCTAGCAAGTGGTGTGCTTTGACTGAAAGCTTCTCCACATCCACTGCATTGGTAGGCTTTCCCTCTAGCAGACAGCTTAGGTGAAGGTAAAGGATGAGCTCTATTTGAAGGCTTCCCTGCAGGTACTGCATTTCAAAAATTACTTTCTTCATTTGGTTCTACTGTATTTCACTGAAGGTCAATTTTGTTTCAGGTTTTTATTATACTCTAGAGGCCCAGTGCATGAATTCGTGCATGGCTGTGGGTCCCTTGGCCTGGCTGGCAATTGAAGCCTATCAGGGGGCAAGCCAGGTGAAGGGAAGGACCCCTGGAGGTTGGCTGGCCATTGCCCTGATTGGGATCTATCAGGGGGGCCAATCGGCAAGGGGGAGGGACTGTGGGAGGTTGTCCGGCCGAGGAGAGGAGAGGGGCTGCAGGAAGTTGGCCGGCCGGGGGGAGGGGCCAAGGGAGGTTGACTGTGGGGCAGCTCCTACGTTGAGTGTATGTCCCCTGGTGGTCAGTGCACATCATAGAGATCGGTCAACCGGCCGTTC